GATGCCCATAAGGATTACACCAAAATCAGCATTTAGTCACCAAAGGACTCCTGATACCTATTTTTTTTTGTCGTTTAGTTTTGTTTATGGGCAAGAGCTTTGTAATGCCAAAACCACTTAAACGCTTGGCTTCTGTAAAAGAGGAATGAAGTTTCAAGAACAAACCTATCTAATCTCTCACTTCCTTCCTTCCATGAGATGCTTTGTACAAAGTGCTGCTGAACTGCACATATAGAAAGATAATATCTCAGGCCTCTTTAGGTCAAAGCCAACCCCATGAATTGCACTTGGAACTAATAGGCAGCCTGGTCAGATCAGAGAGTGGAGGTGCAATCCTGTTGAGGGATCATCAACTCTGGCCTTAATACCACCCTCTCAGACCTATCAGCATCTCCTCTCACCTTAAACTTCCCTTCCACCGACATTAATTCAGATTAAGTATAACTGCTTACCTTGCCAGGTAATACCTGAAAGTCCCAACGATGGAGACAGAAGATGCACCAAGGACCTGCGCCCCAGGCTGGCAAGCAAGCAGCAGAATAGCTGGGTGGGATCCGCAGATGGATGGTCAGGAACCGCACCAGCCACAAGAGCACACATAACCACTGACAGAGGTCACAAGAAAGGTGGGAATCTGGAGAGAGCAAGAGTTGGAAGTGTAGATGAAAGATAAAAAGATGTCTGAGCAGATGGGCTGCTGGGGGTATTGTAAATGAAAGGTGACTCTGATCAGCCAGGAAAAATAAATTAAACCAGACCAGACTGGACATACTTTTTTCACCACAACAGTGACAGGGAAAGTCATTTGGGCTCAGTCATTTCCTTTTTTATCCAGAATTTCTGAATTGATAAGTCATGCCTGAGCATTAAACACCACAAAACTCAAATTTTTAAGAGAGAGCATGTGTTACTCCCCAATTCTTAATTATGAAGCCTTACCCATCATTCATAGTGAGTGTTTACATAATGTTTTACATATGAAGATGCTAATTTTTAGTGTTTGTGTTAGCATACAGGCATTGTAATGTTGGGCCTGAGATCCTGGGCTTCATGCTGTACAAAGACAAAGGAAGAAGACCATGTCTATGTCTCCAACAACTTGTGATTTAGAAATAGCAAAAAATACCAATCAAGGGAAAAAAAAAAGAGGCAGTGTTCATTAATGGGGTCAAGAGCACTAAGAAGACAACAGCAGTTTAACTGTTGCCCTGCTTTTAGTGGTACTGTACCAACGAAGAACCCTTTAAGGAAGGATTTGGAGGCAAATAAAAATGGGAGTCCCTTACATTTTTGGGGGATTCCCCTCACAGTGAGGAACAACATGGAAGGGAGCTATGAGGGGCTTTGCTTGCAACAGGCACAACACAGGCTGCAATCCTGGACTTCGAGAGGGGAATCCACTTCAACACTGAATGAGAAACGAGTAGTGGGATAGGATAGCGTCCATGCCTTTATAAAAGAGTACAAATAAATTATAACTGGTTTTAACTGTTTTACATAGGGAGGAGGAAATGAGCAGCAGTACACAAGATGTGGTCAAAGCAGTGACACGGTCAAAGCAGCAGGACAGGAAAATGGTCTTATAATTTAAGTTTGGACTGCTCTCACATGCTGAAGAGAGAACAAGGCCAAAAGAAAGGTAAGGCTAAAGATGAGCTGATGGCTGAGTCTCCTCACCCGAAGTCAAGAACTGAGACCAAGACTACAGTTTGGACAGAAGGAGGTAGGTCATTTCTGGGACTCAGCAACAAGGAGAGAAGAGTGGAATTTGCATTCATGGACCAAAAGAGAAGAACCAAAAAGGGCTAAACAGTTTTCAAATGCTCTCTTATTCTTAGAAATGAAACTTTGGTTGTAAAAAAATAAGAGTTTGTTTTATTTACTTGTTCTATCTTAAAGATAACTGCATGGCCTTGCTGTTTCACACTGACCTGGAGGAGATTCTGCCTCACACAAAACCAAGTGAGACAGAACTGGTTTTCTGTTGCATATTCCACGTTTTGCTCCCTGTGAGACTGTGGTGACATACATGACACTTTGAGCACTGTGCAGTAGTATCTGCTTCATTGATGTTAATCTCAAGGAAGACAGCCAGCTCCCCCAGCTACAGACAAACAGCAGCAGTACCACAGTCCATAGTTAAAACAAGTGATTCTGTTGATTCTTTGAGTGTAGAAGAGATAAAGCTGCTTACACCTTGGGTTTCCTCTGAAAGTTTGATGACATCCAATGTGACAGATACTGGATGAAAACACTTAAAACAGCAAAACTATAAGGTTACCAAATCCTGACATGATGAAAAAAAGTATTGCAAAGGAAAAGGACAATTAAAAAGGGAGAAACGACTGCATCTTCTCAAAGAGTATCTGAAACGCGTGGCTCTCCAGTTCATGACACATTTTGTAGTCTTAAATTTAAAAATGCAAATCACAAACAGCTGGGCACCTTCCTTTAACATGTTGTCATCACACATAAACAACACTGGGAAGAAACATATGCACCGGGTTCAAACCAAGAGCCTGGAAAACAGAAGAGCTTTAGCTGCTAAAAAGAAAATATTTTCAAAGTATATACTGCCCCCCAGTGTACAACTCATTATTATCTCCAACAGCTGCAACCCATTTCAAAAATTCAGAGTAATGTGGGACAGTAATGTCACAGATAATAGAGGAACAGGGATAAAATCCCTGCACTAGGGAACAGAGTGAAGACACAGCTCAGGCCAGTTGGTATGGCCAGAAATGATACTGTCACTGGTCTCCAGCCATCTTTTAAGGAACAGATCATGCTGGTTCCCTAGCACCAGAAGCCAGGAGAGCTTATTAATTTGAGAGGTTCTGCAGCCCTCCTTGTCAGAGGCAAATAGGAAAGCACCCCCAGAGCTGGCTCTGCACCCCCACCCCAATCAGTCTGTAAGTGGGAGGAACCATTTAAGACAACAGATTGTCCACAAATGACTGACTGCTTTAACCAGCAATAATTTATTCCAGTTAAAGTTTCTTATGAACAAGATGAGTTCCACACACTCCTAAAAAAATACCTGTGCACAGGTAAATTTCCTTGCTGGGATATTTCTTGATACCCTCTTCAACGGTTCTGGTTTTTGTTTTTGTTTTTAAAAAAAGGATTTCAACTGGATGAAAAGAACTAAAGTGTGAAAAATGAATTGTTTCTGTGGAAAAACATTATGCTGCGCAGAGATACTACTGCACTCCTATACAATCAATTCTCATAGTAATAAAGGTTTTACTCACCACTAAATGCTTCTCTTTTGTTTTTTATTTTAGTTTTCCCTTTTAAGAAAAACAGGTCCTCGAGCAAATTCAGAGCCATGGTGAAAGACTCACTTGGTACACAATCTCTGTTTCCCATTACAAGTCACACTTGCAGAATCCAAACATTAAATTGAAAAAAAAAAGTAATAAGATTGATTTAAAAATACTTACCTGACTCCTATGCATACTACGGTTTTATAACATAAATTAGTAAGTTTTAAAAAATTTTCAGATGAAGTTAATTACTATTTGCAAAAATCCAGCATAATCTAAATGCTAAGTAATAAAACCTTCAGGAGTTAAGTAGATGTCACTTGCTAAATTCTGACAATGTTTGCATTGCACACTCAAGAACAGCATTATTGCTGAAATAGACTCTTTATTTCTGAAACATTCGAAAACAGCAGTATACACAGTTGTAATCAAATATTAAGTCATATGCCATTATAAGAAAGCATTGATTAGTGCAATTGGATTTTGTAAAAGATCTATCAAAAAGATTTATTTGCATTAAAACTCATTTTCCATAAGCAACTGTTAATAAAACATCACAATTTTATCCTTTGTAATAAAGTACTGAAAACCAACTGTAGTTTTAGAGATCACTGTATCTTTGTAAGTGCAATGTGACTTATGCTGCCATTTTAAATACAAAACACCATGACAATAAATTAACAATTGAACAAATGGCGAAAGACCAACAAAACCATGCTGACCCAGCTGGATGACAATTACCAGTGAATGCTACTTTTTTGTGCTTCTGCAACATATATATACTGCTTTGTATTGCCAATGGTACGATTTTGTGAGATATGTTCCTAGCGCTAAAAAAGTACATTACCCAAAAAATATTATTTATGGCACAGAAAAGTTAAATTATCTCTCCATTGTCCAAGGTTCAGGCAAGTTTAAATGAACTCAAGTATACAAAATAAAATGTACTGGAAACACTAGAAAAAAATTCAAGCACATACATAAGTCCCCCCAAATTCAAAATAAAATGTATGATGCCTTTACACTGAATAAATTATCTTAAAATTTCAGTATGGCAAAGCTGCCTGGAAAGCATTATCTCCTAGTTTCTTCCAAGGAAATATTCTGGTACTTTGCACATCTATAATACTTAATCTTCAGTTCCAAATGCCAACAATGCCATTGTTAGTCTGATACCAATGCAGCTGTTCAGGTAACTAATTAAGTGCAACATTTAGTATTTGATAAGATGTTCATTTTTTTAAAATGACATTTTATTATGGATGGTTACATATTAAAATCCCGGGGGAAATAATACTGTGTGACCCTCCTTTCTCAAAGCATTATTACCCAGCCAGCTGGGTAATGAAATCCGCATTATTTATTTTCCACTCTTGATGGGCATCCTTCATCAATAGCAGCCGTCTCTCCAGTTCCCATCCCGCATCGTGCTGAGCGATGAAAGTGGCTTTGGAGGCTGAAGAAAACTGTATTAAATGAATGACAAAAAAACCCACAAAGGAAGTCATATTTCATGTGAAAGATCAAGGTAACACACATCATCTGCTTCTGCAGCAATACTGGCTTTGTGGTTTGCTGGCCCCAGGCTAACGCAAATGTAAAGATCTACGGTGAAATTAAGACCACGTCCAATGAGACCCCATTATTGTTACTGGTGTTAACAGGATAAGAAGTTTCATAGAATCATAGAATCATTAAGGTTGGAAAAGACCTCAAGGATCATCAAGTCCAACCCAACACCACCTAACTCACTAAACCATGTCCCTAAGCACCACATCTACACGTTTCTTGAACACCTCCAGGGATGGTGACTCAACCACCTCCCCGGGTAGCCTGTTCCAATGTCTGACCACTCTTTCAGTGAAGAAATTTTTCCTAATATCCAGCCTAAACCTTCCCTGGTGTAATTTGAGGCCATTTCCTCTTGTCCTATCACTTGTTACTTTAGAGAAGAGGCCAGCACCCACCTCAATACACCCTCCTTTCAGGTAGTGATAAAGTCTCCTCTCAGCCTCCTCTTCTCTAAACTAAACAACCCCAGCTCCCTCAGCCGCTCCTCGTAAGACCTGTGCTGCAGACCCTTCACCAGCTTCGTTGCCCTTCTCTGAACTCGCTCCAGCACCTCAATGTCCTTCTTGTGGTGAGGGGCCCAAAACTGAACACAGGATTCAAGGTGCGGCCTCACCAGTACTGAGTACAGGGGCACAATCACTTCCCTAGTCCTTCTGGCCACACTGTTTCTGATAAAAAGGAACCTGGTGAATAATTCTCATGATGCATGAGACCCCTCTCAATGAGAAGATTCGGTTCTTCAGGGCTAAAGACAATAAAAAACTATTTTTGTCACTACGGACAGCAGAGATCTAGTGGGAAATATTCTCCAAAATGCTGTTGTGCTCGGCATGCTCATCAAAAAACCAGCACTTTTTAAAACCACTGTGCACTAACACTAAAGAATTTAGGTATCTTATTGGTTGAAGAACTCTACCAAGTCCTGCTCCAGACCCTCTTACCCAGACACAATGATGTGTTTCCATCCGATGGCCGAAGTCAGAGAGGTACCAGTCCCAGCAGCACCACTCTTGCAGGGAACTTGCCATCCTTTGGGCCCCCACCCTCATATCTGGGCTGCATCTCTCACTAATGAATAAGGACTTATTAAAAAATGATTGTTGACCATCTTCCAAACCCTCCAGGTACCACTGAGTTAACAGTTTCAAAAAAGGATTAAAAAAAGGAACAGCAATCATCTGATTTGATCCGTTAACTCACTGTTGATGAGGCAGGCTATCTGTAACTTGCTGAAACCACATTTTAGTTACACCACAATTTGCTGAAAATTAAGTGTCTCTATTCTGTGAAACTATTCTGTATAAAATCAGGTCTTAAGCCTTGTTATCTCACTTCTCTGCTTTTCCTGTGAGTTATTGATGCCTGCTCTCCCTTCCAAATGCCGTGGGCTGGAAAAAGGCAGAGGTTATATTGCAAGGCAGTAGAGCTGGTAAGTTAAAAGCAATCACTAGAGCAGCTTCTTGCCTTTCTGCTATAGCTGCCTTTTTAGTGGCACAAACATTGCACTTAAGTAAAAAGGCTGGTTAAACTTAGGTTCAGCCAAGCTGCTCTTGTGCAGCTCCACTTTGTTGCAGGATAACTTATCTTTGATATAAATCCAAGTACTTGAGGCATAAAACACAACCTGCATCTGCCATTTTCTGCATCTGCTGCTTTAATTTCTTTTTTTCCAGAAAGAAAAAAAGGAAAGTATGTTTAATAATCTTAAAAAAAAAAATGGAGAGGGCAAAAGTAAAGAATTAACTAAGCTGAAAATAACTGGAAGAATACTGCTACATTTCCAGAGGTGAATCGCTGCTACAGGGCAGTGAAAAGGAAAACGTGCCAGCATTGAAAACCATTTCAAACAAGCACAAACTGTCAGTATGATGCTGTGAACAAGTTGGTTATCTTGGCTACTATAACTTTATTTTACAAATTATCAAAGCGCTCCCTCACATGCTCGTTCCTATGCAGTAAATCCTGAAGTTCCCTAATGCAGGCCCTATATGAAGTGTCTTACAACCTATCTTAAGTATCTAAAATACCAATAATTTGGCTACCTAACAGCCTGGCCACAGGCATAAAGACACAGCCTTGCTCTGAATGTGCACTTCTCCCTGAACATCTGATTTATTTAAAAAAACAAAAACACCAAACAACCAAAAAACCCAAAAAACAATGACACAACACCAAAAATTTTTTTCTACTTTTAATCAAGTTATGACTAAAACCACTTTAATTTTCAGTATACTAACAGAAGCTATACTCAAACTAATAATCAGAAATATCAGTCCTCAGAAATTACCACAATGACAAAAATCAACAGTGACAAAATCTGCCTCTGATGGCTGAATTCTTTCTAAGAAAATTATGTGTGTACTGAAACTGCTCTTATTTTCCACATGGAAAAATAAAATGAAATTAAGGTCTTAAAGAACTGTAGGCTGAGTTTCAATCTGCCTGTGCTTTTAGAGTCCTATAAACGTGTTATCCCACAGTGCAAAGGCCATCTATCATCTTCAAGGATCATTGGTCTGGCTCTACAGCACACATATGATACTGCTAAGGTACATGTGAAGGTGAGAAGATGGGACCCCAGACCTTCTGGACTACAAATAGCTTTGTTACTGATTTGAACCACTTTCTAATAAAAACAGTGTTGAGAGTACAGTGTCTCACCCTCCCACTTATATCTTAATTTTGTTTTTCTTTAATATTGCCTGTTGTATGAAAAGTTACAAAATAGCAAGGGACTGGTCTTCACAGCCCAGAAAGTCTCAGTCTTTCTCACATGTTGCTATGAAAGATTTAAGAGCTCTTGTGGAAGAACATAAAGTTGAGGAAAGGGAAAAGAAAAAAAAAAGGAAGTAAACCCTGTACTATAAAGAACTCTAACAGAGAGAGTTCCAGCAGAGAGCAAAGGAGGTTATAATAGAAATCTCATGGTAGTCTTCAAAGAAGAAACCTGACAGCTCTTTATCAAAGTTTCACTGCAGTTGGTCAAAATCTGTTGTCAGTCACATTGGTGTAATCCCCAAGTAACTCAACCAAAGACAGAATGTGAGCAATTGAACTTATTCTGGATCTATCCAGTTATCTAGTGAAAAGCATGAAAATGGTGAGAGTTAAACAGTGACAGCTCATCCAACAGAAAACCAGGTGCTCACGCAGCAGGCCCTCACAAGAGGAGGGATGCTTGCGATGGGAAGAAATAGTTGGAAGAGCTGACACAAGTTGATAGAAGTTTCTCCTTGAGAAACTTCATCACCTATTAATCACCGAACATACAGCTAAGAGTTTAAGCCCCAGCTGCAATAAGGTGATTAAAACACTGTCTCTTTCCTCAAGCTAATTTTATTGCTTGCCCTAAAAAAACAAAACAAAACAAAACAAAACAAAAAAAACCCAAATCATTCAGAGATTAAATTCTCTTGGAAAAAATGCAAAAATGCATTTGCTTAACAGTATAGCTCACTGCAAGTACGTGATACTTCAGGATTCCCCGTTTGCCTATTGTTTCCCAGCTGGAACTGAAAAGATGCTGGTTCAGCCCAAGACCGTACTATCTGGGATATTTCCTTCCTCACAACAGTGTAACGTCACAAGTTGCATTTTTACAGTCTGCTGCCTTTTACAACAACAGGGATGCAACTCCATTTGAGTACTCTAAGATTTGCTCACCCTGTGACATTGAAATAGCAGTTGACCCAAGCCTGGAAGAAGTCAAGCCACATATGTTAATATTAAGAGGTTTCAATTTGTTTTGATTTCTTATTGATGGGCAGCAATCTATTCTTATTTATATGTGACTACATTCTAACACTCGTCATAGTTTACTAGGAACTACCAGCAAGCATTGTCTATCCCTATTTCTGGAAAGAAATCTTCACCCATTCAGTGACTCAGCACTGGAAGCTAGAAACTCTTCTGTTTTATAGTCCAGCTTCATATTCAGGAGAGAAAAAACCCCACAATCTAAGACAAAGTCATCCACACAGGGAAGGAGGACTTTTTAACTCTTACCTTCGAACTGGCTGTGCAATTTTACTTCTGGGTATGCCACTCCCATTGATGGCCAGCGATGGTCTCGGAAGAGCACTGCGCCCTACAATCCCTTGGCTGGCAGTCTTGTTTGGCATTGGGATCCCAGTGTTAGAATGTAACTGCACATTGTTGGACACTGGAATACTGCTATTACTGCTGCTACTGATGCTACTACCTTGTACGGTTGGGCTTACATAGGCAGTAGCTTTGAGAGGCTGTCTGACAGACACCGGAAATTGTCCCACGCTGTGAACTCTGTGCTGAAGCTGTCCTGGTGATGGAACTGCATAGAGTGGTAGAAAAGGAAGCAACAAGGTCAATATGCAACAGACAAGGCCAAGCAGTAATGCTCATTTCTATATAGATCTGAATAGAGACAAACACACATCATTATGCAATTTACTTGCCAATTATAAACTGCTGGAAAAATCCTTGGATCCAATACTGTATCCAGTAACACTGTACTGAACTAAAATACCCTGTTCCATCCTCATCCTGAACAAAACTCCCACCCCATATTCATCTTTCTTTCTCCCCTGAAAGAGGTTTCATTAGCTGTTACCAGCAAACTAATTCCACCTATGCAATTAGAGCTTTAAAGAAATTGCTGTACCTATAAATTAGATACTGTCAGATCATTTAGATTTTTGTAAGGCTGCTTGCAATAACCTCATCTTGTTTAAGGAACATCGAATTAAAGCATTATAATACATCATAGAAGACTAAGCTTTATGTATAAAAACAATAAAAGGCTATAAAAAGGTCTTCAATATAACAGCATATTCCAAGGCTGATGTTATGTAAACTATCATTTAAAATCAATGCTACAGGTTCCAGAAGCTTTATATATAGATTTTTCTACACAATCCTGCCCTCTTGTGTACATCAGACACACATCTGCTTCAGAGTCAACATATCAAAAGAGAACTGGCAAAAGCCTGAAGCACATAAACTAACATACCACACACAGGCCAAATCTTTTTCAAGTCTTTTTAAAAAAGGACATCTTAAATCCATTTAAAGACACAGGAGAAAATACAGATGTGTGATTCAATTAAACAATACTGGCAATATATTGCTATGGAACTCTTATCATAACAGTTATTTAATAAATAACTATTATTAGTTGATAATACAATTTAAAAATAATCAAATAATTTTAATATTAAAGTATAAAGTT